GGCTGGTGTGTGTGTTTACACCAGTGCGCACACAATATTGCTGTTGCAATGCAGGCATCACCTCCCCCAGTAACAAATCAGAAGCAAATGCAGCACTAGCAAATACGTAAATTAGTTTTCATTTATATATTGCACGAGTGCACAAAAAGCTTTGAAGGTGACTGTAGCTTATTGTTAATCTCTTTAGCAGGTTAAAAATATGGTCTTGACATAATTAGAGGCTTTATTGTGGTTAGTAGGTCTCAAAGTTCAGGACTCACCCAGTTCAGTATATTCTTATGGCTGTGTGTGTTTGTTTCCTCTCAGCCATATATCAGTCCAGCATTATTTCCAAGAATAAACTGTGTGCTTACAAGGCTCAGTTGGGTTATATTGCACTGGTTATAGTGCCAGTGCCATTTCATTGCAGGGAGCAGTGGGGTATGTAATTCATTCTTTTCCCCAGTTTACTGCTCTGTAATTTAGTAGCATACTGTAGAATTCAAAGCAGGTATAAAAATTGTCTGCCCTTACCACTGTAACTTTGTGTCCTGCTTTTGTGGCCTTCTGGGGAAGGGAAAAGCTATTTATCAAACTTAATGAGAAAAGTTTCTTCTAAGTTTCTCATTAATTCCACCTCATGCTTTCTGCCTTTTAAACAACTGATAAGGGACTCTGCTGTTACAATGCTAAAATAAATAGATAAATACTTGGTCTTGTAGTTTTTATTGTATAGCAGCTTCTAATCAAATTGAATGGAATTCATAGATGGTTCTATACAGTGGAATTATTTTGCGATGTTACGACTTCTTCTCTGCAAGAAGTTCTAAAAGGAGCAGGAGCTGCCATGAAACACATCCTGCCTTAACAAAATGGAAGGCAGAAACATGGCAATGCTGCTGGTCACTAAAGCTTATCTCAGTGCAAATAAAACTGGCATTGAAGATCCAGCACAAATGCACTTTTTTTTAACCGGAAAACGTTCAGTTTTGTTTGGCAGGGCCCTATGTATATGAGTGATTAGATATGGAGGTTTGGGGCTCTTTTGCTCTAATGTGGTTGCCTAAGGGGGACTGTTGCAATATTTTTCTTTGACCAGCTGCATAATAATGAAGACTACGAAAATTATATGTTGCCAATATAAAGGTAGTATCTATCAAAATTCTTCAGTGGCAACAGTGCTAAAAGCCTGCTGTTCCTGTTGCCCAGCTCATACAGAGGCTAGCCATTGCTACAGGAGTGTTGTTAGAAGCATCTTTTGCTCCTGTTCATTATGAAACGCAGTGCTGTCATGGGCCAAAACCTAGCGCAACATAGATGGGCCTGCTGTAACAGTAGCCATCTCCAGGAAGAGACTTCCATGTCTTACCCACTATGGCAGCTGCTCTATTTTATCCATGATTAGGATAAAGAATATGCTATTTCCTCAGAGTGCAAGTAGTTTGTCCCAGTCTTTGTCCTTCAGTTAATTCAGCTTTGTTTTTGTTTGTTGCTGGGGGGATGAAGAGAAGTAAGCTGTATCTCAAGAGGTAACTGCATTGGAAGTTCCCCTCTTGCTCAACAGGCAGCATTTCATGTTTATAGTTAAATTTTTTTCTAATGACAGCATGCTTCTCACTTGAAGCCACTCTTAGCAACAAGATGGTTTGGAGAATCTTGCAAATTAAACAGAGGAAAACAGTGTCTCTCTTTGAGAATTACCTTTTTTCTTTTCTTTGCTCATTTTCTAAAAGCAAGAGAACATTACTTAAAAGCCATATTTGTCTGTTTTTTTGTGGTCTTTTTGGCAAGATCTTAAGCTATTCCGGGTTTGCAGAAGAACTGAAATAAAGTGCTGTCACTTATTTTTATCCTGATTGTTATGTTTATATTTTCTTCGGGAGTAAAGCCCAAGGAGATAACTTTCCTGTTGTTGAAAGCTGAAGAAGCTGCCAATTAAAGAAACCTGTACCTTTCTAAAAGCAGCTGGACTATGACATTTGTCTACTGCTCAATTTTGACTACTGCTAAGTCATAATATGTCAGTGGGATAAATGCAGCATGATTTTCCTTATAAACACTGGATTGTGCAGAGCAGCTGTGGTACAAATAACGCATCTTCACATCCCAGTGTTTTCCTTGATCCTTCTCTGTTTAAAATTTGGCAGTGGTCTTCCCAACCTCAGCCAGGAATCTCTGACTTCTTTATGCCTCATCTGCTCCACCCGCCAGCTCCTTGACTTTTTGCGCTGCATCCTACTGCTGAGGAAGGATAATGCACTCCTTCCATGCAGACTGTATTTGTTTAAGGGCAGCAAAGGTTTAGGAATTTCCTGGCACATTTGACTGTAACCCCACACACAGTAAAGAATTACATTATTTAAACAGTGTAAAGGTAGTAGAAAATTATAGAAGCTTCTCCTCTGTGGAAGCTTGTTTTTGAAAGGAGGTGTCAGTGGATTTTTTTGCAAGTAAATTTCCCATATCATGGTGTGGACTACCCTACTAACTGCATGCTAGCCCAGTGCGTGTTCAGTGTTTGCTCTGATCTGGTGAGTTGCTTTGACTTTGTGTTTAGGATTGAAGGGCATACACTGTCATGCTAGAGAGGCATTGTGTCCTACAATGTTTTATAGCAATTTATTTCCTTGACATGGAGGAAAATCCACTGTGCAAGATTTGATTTTTGGATCTTTGTCACTAATTGCTTATTTCTGTTGGAGAAAATTATAGAGGTTTTAGTTGTTGAGGTAACGTGCAGAATTAAAAGGGAAATAACTGGGTATGCAGCTTGGTTTCTGTGCATGTGATTATATTTAATATTTACCTGTGTGTATGAATGTGTATCTAACATGTAATATGTATGAAGATTTGCATGTTCATTCTGTCATTCTGTGTATGCATGTCCTAAAGGTGTGTGGCATTATTTGATTTGGTGCTTGTACGTAATACCTATACAGCACTTAGTGGTGAAATTTAAGTGCTGAATAGAAAGTCAAGTCTTTGAGTCTCCTGTTACACCTGGTATTTAGGAAAAAAAAATAAATAAATTCAAAGTAACTGTAAGCATGTACAGATCTATCTTCTTCTTTGAAGAATTAACTAAATGCTTGTTAGCTGGTTTCTATTTATTGTTATTTATTAGGCCAGTTGTACTTGTGAATGATGTTCTTTCTCTAAATTCAGCCATAAACAAAATGTGTAAAAGCAACAATAATGCTTCGTGTTTCAATGTGGAAAGGAAGGAGAACTGCAGCGATTTCCTGAGCTAGCAGGCTTCAGAAGTGTGCTGGGCTGTGGTGGATCTGCTGCTGGGATGTGGGCTGAGGGGGAGAGCCTGCAGACACTGTGTTAATGTCTCCTGTGGCTCCCGTTTCCTTCTCGCTGGTATACCTACCCTATCTCATTGGAAGTAGGAAGGTTTTCCTTGAGTTCTTTTGCATTGTGGCTGTGTAAATAGCAGGGAATGCTCCTAACGAACACCAGATGGCTAGCAGATTTCAGTGAGAAGTGCTGACTGCTTGTTGGTTTTTATTTTTTTGCATCCTCACTGATAAGGAAGTTACATGAACAAATGACAAAGATGGAAGGAGCTTTTCTGTATGTCTTTGAACTGCTGCTGTAATTCTGGTTTGAACTATTGCATGCTGTTTGTAGCTAAGAGAGTAGCATGTGGTGTGATGAAATGGAGAGCGCTGTGAGTCAGAAACACAATAAATTATGTACTGTATGGCTATGACAGCTCAATAGGAGCACTTGTGGGTGGAAAAAGCATTAGGTGTTTCTTAGAGCACTACTGACGTGGGTTTTTTTCTCCTTATTAATCAAAATTCAATCACGTGGGCATGTAAGACTTGGGAGAGAAAAAAATATTCTTTCTGTATGTGACATAGACCTATACAAATAAACATGCTAATAAAAGAAGAAAGTAGTTTAACGCAGAGCTTTATGATCAAAATGTAGTCTGTATGTTGTTCTTTTTTTCTTTTACAGGAAGACTATTATGTATAAAAAAGCATTTCAATAAACTGTTTACTAACAGGAGGAGAGTAGCGTGCTTTTGAGTAGCTGTGCAGAGTCAGAATCTAAGTCACCATGCTCGGAGTAAATACATGTAGGTGTAAGAATATCCTTCCAACTGCACAGTAGATATCTTTTTTTGCAAAGCAAACATCTCTCTAATTTGAGAGTATATGTGTTTTAGCAGGACACGAATCTCATTTTCTCTTTTGGGTAGGCCAGAACCTTGTGCTAAGAGGTATTTTGGACTTGGTAAGCATGTATCTGCATGAATGCTTAAGTATTTGTAGTGCTTGTTGTCTTTTTCCTTGGAAGTGTTTCATATTTTCTTGGTGTATTAGAGCTTTCAGAAATCAATCAAAACAAAGAAATGTATCCAGGACTGATTAATTCTTTGGCAGAAGATGTTTCTGAGTTTGCATGATTGTAATGCATAGATTTTTATTTCTAATCCATCTCATTAATGCAAATCAGCTACTCAACGTACTTACTGAATAAACAACTCACTCTCTGTAAGCACAGAAAGATTCAGTAGGTAGAACTTGGAGATGTTTAAGGGTTAATGACGAGCTGCACTGCATTCAGTGTATTTGCAGATGTTGCTGCAACCAGCTGCTGATTTTTCTCCCATCCTGTTAGGGAATTCTGCCAGCTGTGATTCATGGAATGATTTTTTTGCGCTGAGTAATCTGTGGTTTTTCTTTTTCCTTTTCCCTCTCCCTTATTTTTACCATAAACTAAAATCCTATTCATTTTAGCTAAAGGGAGGGAAGGCATCTAAAGCACTAACGTAAAACATTAAGTACACTCTGTTTTGGATAGAGGAATTGTAACAAACGTTAAATTTGCAGTGATTTTACTTTGCTTCCAATTGAATGGTCCAGCATAGAAAAAGTTTTATGACAGAACCAGCTTTTGTTTTTTGCTACTCATATGGTGTGACAGTTCTTGTAAGACTTAGGTGCTTGTATTGCTAAAGAACATCCAAGTTTTGTGCTGATACTATGCCTTCTTTCTCACAGATCGCTCTGAAAGAAACAAACCAGACTGCCGCTCTTCAGGGTAAGAACCATATTCCTGTGTTTATTCTTTGCTTCTTTTACTTCTTTTCTTTACTGTTGTTTTTTCCTTTTGGGGGATGAATTAGGAAATTAGCCAAAATAATAAGAAAGGCTTTCTTCTACTTCACTGTTTTGGCAAGAGTGAAAAACAAACAAAAAAAACTACACAACTTTGTGTTAAGGGTAATTATCAGGTTTTCCTTATGGACAAGATTTTTCAAGGAATGATCAGGGTTCCCTATACTGTAATTGCATGTCCTTGAAGTTCGAAACACTTGTTTATTGTTTATGACAAGAAGCAATCATAAATTTTGCTTCTGTATTCTTTGAAGCATTAGCTTTGAAGCATTAGCAGGGAGACTAATTCTTAGTTCGGTCAAGGGTAGCTATGCTTTATTTTGTTAACTTTGATCATCTCTAAGGGTTCAAAATTGGGAAAAACAAACAAAACAAACAAAAAAATGTTGAAACAAACACACAAATATTTTATTTTTATCCAAACTTCCTTTAGCTTTGGAAGTCTGACAATTTCTATTGATTTGCAAGGCCACAATTTCCCTTAATTTTTCTGAATACTCTCAGAAACTTTTATTTTCCTCTCATTTAAAAAAAGAAAACAGATGTCCCTTTTCCTTTTGCCTTATTTCCAAACTTGTTCATCAATTTTCTCAGCTAAGGATTAAGATGTCCTTCATATCCTGTGATGGATAATGGGATTTTAATGAAGTAGAGTGATGAAGCAGACTAACTAGCAGTGGTTCCTGTGCTCCTGCATGAAGTTCCTTTCCATAGGACACCTCTGGTGCCCAGCCTTCAGACGTGACCTAACGTTTTCATTTTATTTTGTTGTACTTATTTTTCTTGTTACATTTTTGATAGTACACTGGGGTAGCTTTTATAGCTAGAAGAAGGGAAGGAACTGTAACCTCTTCTTATAGCACAGCTGATATCTACTGTGTGATGTGATGGGAGAGCGGATGTTTGCCCCCTCCCACCCAGCAGTACTGTAGTTATTCCCACCTGTGTGTTGTTGAATTTGCAATGGGAAGAATACTTGAAACACCAGTCACTGTTCCTTTTTACAATTAAAAAAGCTGATTTTTTTTTTTCCTTACAATGATGCAGGATGCAGTTGTATTCTATATGTTCGAACCTTTATTAGATTATGTAATACTGCCGTAAATTGAACCCAAATTATTATCAAAGGAAAATACAGTGATCAAATGTTTAATTTAAGATTGAAGCACTGTTTCCCCCTCATCTGATAGGTCCTTCTCACCTGTATCTTTTTTTTTTTTCTTGCAGTCTATGTTAGAAGTTCTAATTTTCTCCATTCCCCCCTCCTACCCCCCATGGAATAAGAATTACAGATGTGAACCACCTTGACAATGAAATATTTCCCTAAGTTGCTTTGTTACAGATTTCAAGTTCTCCCATGGAAAACTAATGCAATGAACAGTGTAGTGTAAGTTGCTCATAGCGTTGGGAAAATTGAGGTTCTCATAATCCTTGATTTCTGTCAGTAGTGCACTCAGCTTCTAATTATTTCTATGTATCTTTTGTTGCCTTCTCAGTCTCACTGGCCATCGTGTTATATTAGTTCTGCGTTTGAGAGTGAGCTGTGAGAATGACAAGTCATTGTTAAAAGGAAAGTGTGGTTTTGTGCATGTCTGCTGGATGCTCCTAGGCCAGAGCAGAAGCAGCCTGCCTCATTCAAATGATCTGATCTTCTATTTGTTATTGCTATGCTCTGTAGTTCGTTTTGTAGTATAATGGCAGTGTTCTCATCTTGTGTGATGGATTATTACCCCTGTCTGACCATATCATCTCTGAGAAGAGAGCTACAGACACAAGGTGACCAGCATCTCTGGCTGTAAAAACTGAGGGAAAACTAAGTACTGAAGCATCTGAAACTTTAATTAAACAACAGTGCATCACTTCCCATGTGACAGAGGCTGTCTTTCAGAGCTACTTGAGTTACGCTGGGGACTACTTATGCCATTTTATGATGGGTGTCTGTAGCCATGACCTTTTACACTCTGGGGACAGTTTGTGACAAGGGAAAGACAAAATGGCTCAAAGGCATCTTTTTTGTGTCAAGCTTCATGTTGCAGAATGTGTCTTGAAAGTGCAACATAACATGCCTCTCATGATCTAAAGCTGAGCAAAATTACCTTGTAGGTCATTTACTTGGAATACGAGGTCTAATAAGAATTTCTGAACTAGAATTAGTGTAAAAATAATGTTTAAAAAAAAAAAAAAATTGAGGTGGTCTTGGTGATACTAGTCAACTGTATGAAGACATACACAGTGAACCTTAAGGAAGGCAGATATTTTAAGATGGAATAGATGGTGTAAATCTTACTGAGAGAGACAGAGAAGTAGTGATTTATTTCATACAAAGCCCTGGTGATACCTTGCATCATGAATGTGCAACACTGGGACAAAAAGAAACAAAAAAAAAGCCCGAACATCACCGTATCATTACTCTTTCTTCAGCCCTGAAAGGTTGTTTTAATCAACAAAACAATAACCTTAGTAAAAAGATCACTTGACAATATTTCTTGTGGTTGTGAGGAGCTAAAGTGGGATCTGGCATGAGGCTGGTAAATATTTGGGGTTTGGACAAACAAAGATCCTAGTTGGTGTTTAAAAGAAGGGAAACATGCCTTAGATATTGCTTACAAATTATGTCTTCATTATATTCTTTTACCTTTTTTGGTGATTAGCAGTAGTTCTGTTGTACAGGAGAGGCTGAGTGATGTGTGAAGGATCTGTTGTCAGAAAATGGCCTCCTGTGCCACTCTGCATTGATTTTTATTTGGATTTTTCCTATATATTGGCACATTAATATGACCAAAATGAATGTTCCTTTAATCCAGTTAATACCTATTGCTATGTTAAATCTTATCTGGAGACATTTAATTTTTGCCCTAATATTAACCATCTTTCAATTATTAAATTTGACAGTATTAAAAATGTGTCAATTCTGCAATAACAATCTGTAATTATTATTTCTTGATTTTTACTGTCAGGTCATGCACTGTTGTAGCACAGGTCAATTAAGTCAAAAGTAGTAAGCCCTTTAGTCTTAGGTCTCTAAAAGTTTTCACGCTGCAAATTACACAGTAATAACAGAATAGAAGATTTCAGGCATCCATGTGTTTCTAGTTAATCCTAACATGAATAAATCGCAGAAGGAACTGGATTAACAATGCTGTGCTGTTTTTTTTTTTCCTTTGGAATAAGGACTACAAATCACAAAATTCACAAAATGCTGAAACGCTCTTGTGATATAACTCATGGTAGTTGCTTTCACCTTGGAGATGAGAGAACGAAGTTAATTGAAGAATGCAGCAGCTTGTTGGCAGATGTACTAGTGTATCAATCACTCATAGTGAAGAGATTTTGATTTTTAAATCTAGGAGACTACTGTGAAAATTTGCCCCCTAAATGTGAAAGAAGCTGGGTAGGGGAGCTATGTGAAAGAAGGGGATGGACTCTAGAGAAGGGTCTGTGGTGACAGAACAAGGGGAAATAGTTTCAAGGTCAAAGAGGGTGGGTTTAGGTTAGGTATAAGGAAAAAAATTTTGGAGTGGGGGGGGGGAGTGAGGCACTGGAACAGGTTGTCTAGGAATGTAGTGGATGCCCCATCCATGGAGACTTTCCAAGGCCAGGATGGATCAGGCTCTGGGCAAATTGATCTAGCTGTGTTGTACCTGTGCATAGCAGGGGAGTTGGACTACATGACTTTCAGAGGTCCCAGCTAACTAAGGATTTTATGATTCTATGAAATAGTTTTTTCCTGAAATAGATTGTACGTTTTATTGGCGTGTAATGTACCTGCTGATTGTTTGTAATTTACTTAAGTTGTTTTATTGCTGAATCCCTTCATTTGGTTGAATAAATTTGGTATTCCCCTCTCCCCCCCATATTAAATATATCAAGCCAACAATACAATCAACTTCTGCTCCTTTATAAAGGAGCAGTACTTGAAGTAGCTGATGAAAAGGGGCTACAGTTGGTTTTGGTGAGCTTCTGGTAAACCAGGCTGTCATTTCTATGTGTGGTGTTTTGTATCTTACTTTGGCTTTAGGTTTTTGTGTAGTAGAATTCCATTAGCAAAAGCTTCTCTGTATTCATCTTGTCCACCTCTGCTAGGTAATGTAGATCTTAGTAAACTGTGCTTAATAGGATACAGTCACAGCACATTTGTAATATTTAAGAAAGTGTTTTCCCAGATCATCTGTCACATCTCATCGGAAAGACACCTTTTAATTAGGATCTCGGGCCTTTAGCAGAGTGTGAGGTGAGTCTTAAGGACACACAGTGTAGTCAAATGCTATTCAGTGTCCTCTTAAATTGATATATTTATACAGACTGATAGGCCTTAGAGGTTTTGAGAGAACCTTTGTGGCTGTTTGTGTTGTAACCAAACCATTTCAACAATCTGCAGTCAGTCGCTTAATAGTTCAAGCTTTGCATGTCTAACGAGGGATGTGAGAGTCTTCTCTTCTACTCTACAAATCTTGCTAGCTCTGAGCCCTGTGAGCTTGGTTTTCTAGTTTGAAGCCTTTGACAAATTAAGCATCTGTGTTTAATGAATTGCTTTGTCATAAGGAATAATTTCCTTACTAATTTTGCAGTTGATAGAACAGATTTTGCTTATTTTAGGTAAATTTGATTTTAGGCCACTGTATTAGGATATGCTGTTATAATGTTAGGTATGACTCCTGTTTCTTGTTGTGTCTTAGTTAGAAGGGTACTGTGCAGAGACTTCCAGTGCTACTGCAGCTTCTGTGCTTAAAAATAACCTAATTGTGGAGATGTTAGTTGGAAGGTACTTATGGAGGTCATGTAGTCCTGCTCTCACTCGTAGTGGGAAGATGCTAACTGTAGATCTAGTGATGTCTTTCTAGCCAAGTCCTGAAAGCATTCTAGGAGGGGAATTTGGGCCTGGTGGTCCAGCTGATTTTCAGTCCAGATTTACAGCCTGCTTGT